TCAAAATCTTTTCGATTCTATACAACTGATTCTCCTGTATATTTGCTGCAATTATCTGCGTTTCATAGAATGCGCCTTTGATTAATTCATTATTAAGATCAGTAAGAATGTACGTTGGCGGATCTGTGTGCTTTACCTGATTTATTTTGAATAGCTCTTGACTCCAAACCATTAAATATCCAGGTGTAAAATTAGCCTTATCCAAAGAGATGCGTACTAACTGTCCCACCTTAAATTTTGGTTGAAATCTCGAAGGACGCTTTGTGTACGTTGCATAATAAAGTTTATTCCAAACTTGATCTTGATTTTCCGTGCTTACCTCTGACGGACTCATGCCAATAGATTCCATATATGACATGTTGATGGATCGAACAATGTCCGTAAGCTTACTTAGATATTTGAAAGTGTTATTGGCATACATGTAACGTACTAGGCGTTGTCGTAATCGTTTTATCCCATTTTCGCTGAATCCAGCTTTCATACTCCCAAAGGCTAAGATGTGATCAATTTTCATTGATTTGAAATATTCTTTCACGGTTGTGTTAAGAAATTCACCTCCCTGAAAAAATAAAAATAAATAAATAAAAAATCAGACAAGTTCCAATCCGGAACAAACTTCCTCTCTCTTTTAGTTTCATACTCTTTGTAGTATTTCGAGTTTTTTGGGATTTTATTTCTGTCTTTGAAAATCGACTACATTTTGTTTGCTAATCAAGAATCTCTAAACCATCTAGAAATTGATTCGCTATATCGACTTTCGGAATATTTGAGTTGTTGTTAGTGTTACATATGTTGGTAACTTTATAGTGAAGTTTGTATTATTTAATTTCTGTGATATCGTGATCTGTATAATAACGCAAGTAGTGTTTAATACCTGATCGCTCCTAATTTGAAATGGAATCGGTGCTTCTTTAAACACATCCTCAAGAGCCGAGACAACCTCTGCACCCTTTTTCGATTTCAATGGACGCACCCACATATATCTACTAAATGAGTCCACTAGCACTAGCAAATAGCTCGTCTTTGAATTATACTTTGCATATGCTTTAATATCGGCCAAATCTACGTCGTACATCTGATTCATAGAGGATACTATTATTTTACGTCTTTGTTTCGTAGGTTTTGCTTTTCTAAACAACACATACGATTCTTGTGAGTTAATCCATTTTTTAACTTGAGACTGAGTGATGCCCAAATGCTTTACTTGTCTCCACAGTTGTTTTTGACTAGAAAATGATCCCGGACGATCGGCACTGTAATAAGCCAATTTCAAAGCTCTATTAATTCTCCGACTTGATGCATTATCATTCGCATTAGGCATCGTATCATCAATCAACATCAACAAAAGAATGAAAGCATTTATCATTACATGGTGTATTTATTTGATATTACTAAAACACGTTTACAATATTACCATACATGCGATTAACAAATTCTTTTACAAACTCATCATTTTCTTGTAAATTAAATTTTGAAAATGATTTCACAACACATCTCATAGTGGTGTCTCTGCAACGTTTATTTAGATAGTAAACACAGTGCTGTCCGCACGTTAACCCTTTGCCTTGAATTCTAGTGTTATTATAAATGAAATGTTCACTATTATTAACTAGTACATTCAGGAATCTTCTGTTATAATATTCAGGCGATTGTCCCATTGAATCGAAAAACTCAGCGGGTTCGTTTTTATTGAAGAATGTAAAAGCGCACCAATGCTCTCCCCTCATTGAGCTTGTTTGGGTATTCACGATGAAATAGACTGGTCTTTGCATAATATACTCTGGAATCTCATCCAATGCATACACACCATGCGCATGTTGTCGTATACACGTGTCAGAGTTCATAATGTCTTGAAGTTGTTGGGTATTCATTATGTAACACTAACGCCACGAAAGCGGTCTATTTCCACGAGTCGATGAAACGAACCAAATACCATTACGCATACTGGTTCCTGAAGAGCACTCTCAAATCTACCTTCCACTTTGAGCTGTCCACCTTTGATCAATGGGAATACGGATTTGTTGTCATCAATCCCATCCAATTGGAAACGAAAGATTGAAAATCCTTTTCGAAAATCGATCAATTTTATATCGCTTTCATTTTCCGAGGCAGATAGTGATGCTTCAAATAGTCTTAAATATGCTGTTAAATACTGTTCACTTTGTATAAGATCGCTAGAGAATTTTAATGATAATGGTTTGGAGGGAACGTCTTGAGAATCCACTTGAGTTGAAAGACTAGATAATTTAAAGTGATCCAAATAAAGCGGATTCGTGTCGTATGACCCTGCATAGGCCCGGGCAGATACGAAACACACAGTGAGACAAGAAGGTATTCGTCCTTGAAATATGTTATCCCAAGAAAAGTTAAAGTTTCCCGTTGCTAAACTCTTAACCTTAACTTCAACGTCTTGGTAAGGATATCTAGCTGGTGTCCTAAGTAATATTTCGTTGTGGGCTTTTATAATAGCCGGATTGACCTCTACCATGCAAGCTTCAAAATATGCGTCCGTAATGACTAACTGCCATTTTTGATTGTCTTTTGAAACCAAACAAAACTCGCTGGAATTAGGCCATAATTTTATTTTCAACTCCACTCCATTGAGAAGTAGCCGATTGGACTGAAGAAAACCTTCGTATATAGGGCCGACCAATTCTACATCGCGACTATTTCTGTAATCCATGAATCGCATTGTTAGACCAGGGTTACCTCCTGTCCATACATCATTTGCAGCAGGATCAATTTCATCTTTTCTATAACCCTGAGCTTGTAGCCAAGAAGCTTTATCTCCAGAGGAATAGCCTAGCAATGCGTGTAAATAAGCTTTGTAAGCGTAATCCGGTGTTGCAGCAGTGATGGAATGTTGTTGAATTTGTAAATCTATGCGATTCCATAAGGTTTGCAATAGCATGTTAATGGGTCCGCACTTTTGTGTTCCTTGTATATCGTCTGCATCCCAGTTCATAACACCTCCATTTTCTTGTAGTATTTTTACTTTGACATGTAGCCGAGAACGTTTCAGACTCAGATAGTCCATACCATTGTTTGGGATATTGAATTCTACGCAAGTACCGGGACTGATGCTTGAAGTTGGTCTATGTTCGACCCATTTAAATCGATTGATACTAATATCAGTTAATGGTGTATTGAAGAGCATCAATTCACTAGAAGACGATTCCTCACTTCCTATCACCTTTTCTGCCATTTTGTTTTCTAGTTAATATGTCAACGGAAGTGGGTGTTTTGCTTCTTCTTTTCGATGTGAGCTTTTTAGTTTTGGATGTGATTTTTATCGCATTTCTCGATACTTTGGTTTGTTGGCGTTTACGCTTTTTGATTGGTTCCTTGGGAGTTCCTGGAGGTCGTGGTCTTTTGATCGTATCCAGTCTCTTCTCTCGCTTCAGTTCTTCGCTAGCTCTCTGTACTATAGCTTCTGTTGGTGATACAACTTGAATTGCCGCGCCAGCTCCTTCTTGATTATTTCTAATTGTGTATTGAGAATTATTTAGAGACACGTATTTCTGGGATTTTCTGGAGTCCATAGGAAGACTCTTGTTGACAGAAGTTGCGAAGAATCTAGTCCATTTACTATCATCAGGTGTGTAACTTGATAACCTCATCTTGACTAAAAGATGTGAACTTTCTTAAAGTGAAGAGTGCAGTAGAACGGCAATTCGTTAAATGAAAGCTCACCAGTTCCCTTTGCAGCTTTTATAGTGATGGTTATGTGTTGAAATCCGGAAGGTATAATTGTTTTATATAGAATCGGATTAAACGACTGCTGATTCGCAGAATAGAATACTTGGTCTTGGTGAGCATGTACTTGTCTCAGCAATGGTAGGTATTCTCCGCCGGCAACTGATCCCTCGCATATATCGCAGAGTACATTCATAACAACGGTCTTGTAAATAGTTGGATGTTTTATTTCCACTAAACCAACCTGCCATTGATCCTGAGTTAGTGATACATATCTTGGTAACTTTACAGTAAAGCTTGTATTGTTGTTAGAAGGATAAAGATCCGTAGAATCATTACTATTCAAGTAAACGTAGAATTGAGATGTCATGTTTCCACCTCGAGAGATCTAGCAGCTAAATGTTATCTATTATTGATAGATAAGCATTTATATAGTATAGTTAAATGTAACCTATATGATACCAGTTGTGTATAAATTTGCTATTGTATGTTATCCACAGTAGTAAATGAAAATTTTTTTTTCATGTTTCAAACCTCTAAAATATCTGCATTTCACATCAATTAATCAAAAAACAACAAAACAAAAAAAAACAATCAAAACAGTTATAAATTATCTGGAATTTTATTTATTTTATTTATACGATTTAATCTTAAACATGTGTTTTGATCTAAAATTAAAGATTACATTTTATTGAGAAATGATAATGGATGAATTAAAAAAATTTATTAGTAAAACAAGTATATCAAATACACAGTCTGTACGTTGATACCATTGTTAGGTAACTTGAATGTTTTTCTTTCGGAAATATTCGATTGCATCACTAAGACTAATGTTAATGTTGTTAACATCTCTCTCCCCGTCTTGGGTATTATATTTCAGGTATTCTTTGATATCATTTCTTAAATCAGATTTTCGTAGAGCATAAACATTCATTTGCATCCAGGATTTTTGTATATCATCGTGTAATTTAAGATGATTTTGAAGATTATTGTATATATTGTAGACATCGTCGTCGAGCAATATTTCTAAAGCCGAATCATGATCGATATCCACATCAATTTCCAGACAGCCGCCAGATCCCATGTGCTGAAAATAGACATATTTCAAATTTCTATTAATTTCTCTTATTATTTCATGTAGTATATCTATTACTTTAAAACTTTTTCAATCAATCATTACCTTTATTCAATAGTGTTCCTTAGGGTATTATTGAAATTGTACGTTAAACTATAAAATCTATTAAAAAATAAAAAATGAAAATTAAAAAAATAAATTGATTAAAAATCAATAATCATAGACCTACCTGTAGTTGGCTGGGATGGTCAATTTTGCAACCTTCACAATCCGGTCTGTTGAGTGATAGTTCGTTTATTCGAATGCAGAGCATGTGTAAAAAGCATTGCTTCAGTATATCCTCATTGGATGGCATTTCAATGAGTTGTTTCTGAATTTGAGCATTGGTTGCGTTTTCTTTGTTCAAGTTATTCACAGCTTGAGATCTTAGAAAATACCAGGCTCCAGTCAATTGCCCATTTTTTCCATTACTTATGCACCGATATCTATGGGACATTCTCTTCTCTTGGTTTTGTTTGCGACTGGATTCATCAGAAAAATATCTCTTTTCTGGAAGTAGACTTGAGATTGAGGAAGAATGCAATTTCAGTTTACCCCAAGCGTCTGCTGAAATGGTCATTGATTTCTTTGAATCGAGTTCACCATTATCACCCAATACAATAAATCGAACGAATTGATTATCATTACTCTCTGCTAGTGCTATCAATTTCTGTCCGTTGTTGCTTATTACGAATTCTTTTGAATAATCCTTTTTCAAAAGACAATTATCAATCATCCGTGTAGAGTTCTGTAAGTTACGCCATTGAGATGGTGATATGAAATAAACTGCCCAGAATGCATCTTCTTTCTCTCTACATTTCCTTTGCTGACATAGCGTACCACAAACTCCGTACTTTGATTTTGAAATGTCGAATTTTAGTTTGTCCTCGAGATTAAAACTTTTCAAAGTTTCTATTATCGCTGGAGATGTCATTTTGTGATGTGCTTGTTGAATAATATAAAATTATTAAAGTTCTGAGACTATATATATTGCGAAATTAAGTAAATAATAAAGAATTATTATTAATAATTAACACAATCACGTGATTATAGTGTGTAAATAAATACATATCGAAATTATATGGTGGTGGCAACTGTTGTGGCATCCATAGTTGTTATTAAGGTGTTAGGTAACTGTGGCAACTGTTGACATACTGTGGCAACTGTGGCAACTCTTATGATTATTCTCATGTTAACAAAAACGCCTCATTTCCAAATATTCACATTTCGTTTCGCCACCACAGTTGTCTTAGGTAACTGTGGCAACTGTTGACATACTGTGGCAACTGTGGCGTCAACAAAACGCCTCTTTTCTCGCAGGTACCACCGCTACATATACTACTTTTATTAACTAATCTGACTGGCCAAAATTGTCCAGATTGGCAGGTTTTCACATCCTGAGGATTTAATCTATGGAGGATTGGAAATGGGACTAAAAGTGTTCATATTGAGAGGTGTTCAGATTGAAGAAGTGTTCATATATACAGTTTGTTTTGTCATAACAAATTTTATTGATAGCCTTTGAGTGTCTGTATACACCTTTATAGTATATATGTAATCTTTTCAGAAATCTTTATCACATTTCTTGATATATCCCCTACCATCGACACAACATGTAAAAAAGTACTAAAACAAGAAAAAGTGTACAATGTAGGAGGAATGATTCGGAATAGATGAAATGTATATACTCTTAACTACTATACATAGAAATGCAAGAAAACTAAACACTTCATTCAAACTCTAGAAAGAATTCATGCAGAATTAACGGATATGAGCAGACGGACAGAATGAGCAGACGGACATTTTTTGAACAGTAGGAAAAGAGTTGTTCGGATGCACTCTATTAATTAGTAAAACCACTGGTGTCTTATAAAAAATGTCACTTATCCCATATTGATTGACCCAAATACTTATTCAGCTCTGTCGAGTGTTAAATATTTATACAAATGCAAATTTATACAAATATTTAGTTTCATTTAATCAAAGACAGAATAGATACCTGGGAATCAGGTTTCATCATAGAGAGCCAACATTTTGTCTCCCATATGATGCATCATTTGAGGCGGATCAGAACCACAAGAACGCAACATCACAGGTTTGTGACCTTAAAAGGACTTGGTCATGTACCTGTGATGTGACCATACTCATGAAATCAAGATGTGACTGAGAACTTCACCTCAGTGATATTTAGAGTTTAGTGCAGTTCTTGATCAAATTCTTCCAATTTAGGGTATAGTAAAACCTGTATTGTAGGGATTACTAACAACAGGCAACAATTGACAACTTTATTAAAATTATAATTTAACGTTCCTCAAAACAAGGATTTGGTTAACTTGAGAAAAATTGCCTACTGCTTATGAAATATTTAATATATGAACAGTTATTGGTTACCCCATTCTTTGAACCTCCAAACATGAACACTTATCAATGTGAACACTTTTTACATTAACAATTAATGCTCACAGATAGTACTCCTATATATTTCAAGATGTGATTTTTAAGAACATTGCCAAATATAACTTTAAGTTGATATTATTTTCTGTAAACATACTTACAGTATACTAGCAAAATTAAAATCAATTTTTTAAACTAAAACCAGATGCTCTAGAATTTACTATATTCATAATAGCAAACACAGTTATTACTTATAACATAGAGTAGATATCAGGTGAGGTTTGATTCATGTGGAAATCAATAGATGAAACAATGCAGCGTTTGTAACATATTTACAGTTATGTATAGGTATATAGTGAAACCTGTGTATATTGAACACCAATGGTGGCACAGCAATGTGTTCGCTGTAGGTTGGTGTTCATTACAGAGGGCGTAATTCATTCAGAAGTCAGTTGCGAGTATGTGATGAGGAAGGGTGTCCATTAGCTACAGGTGTTCACTAGTGAAAGGTGTTCACCAAAACAGGTTTTACTGTTCATGCATAGAGTAGAACTGATGAACGTCACAGTATTGGGTTTGGGTTAAAATGTTCATTTTGAAGAATGCTGTTCCATGTTGGACTTAGAAAATTGAAACATCCCAAATTATTTACATATCTTTCAGCTTAGAGTAGCGTTCACAAGTTTTACTGCATATGCATCTTTTAATACAACCAGTAATATTAATCTAAAGTATATAGATTCAAATCAGGAAGTCAACAAACATCAGGAAGTCATATTAATTATCATCACCCTAGTGCAAAACTCCAAGAAAACAGAAATGATTAAAGGTGATAACCTCAATGTTTAGATACATTTCTATGTAGCATGCATAATACTGAACTTGTATCATAATCCTATATTGCTATTATCAGTTTACAGTATATTTACATATGTTAATCCTAATCTTTAATCCATAACATCAAAACACGTCTAATATGGTATTAAATATTGTATTACCACCCCATCCTCTCCCATATTTGGTAATGAAAGAACAACTTAACATTTTAATTCAAAAACATCTACTCACAGATTTGATATAATATTTCTTAAGTTCAAACCAGCATTTAACATATAATACAATTCTATTGAGACCTCAATTGTTCTATAATTTAGACTGAATACTAGATAATTTTCTGAGAATTAGATAGAGTACAGGCCTGGAAGCTATCTGTAAAACTAATTTGTTATATCACAAGGTACTATTCTGTCTATTGTTTCAGATATATCCTTGCTATCTGAAATGGGTCCCTTGAAACATATAAGTTAGCCATAAATTAGAACGAAACATTAAGAAATATAGTATTTTAACAGTGGCTCCGCGTATGTTTCAGAGTCATTCAAAAGAATATGAGGAAGTTTATCTTAATCGTATCAAATGTACTATATTCACAAAGGGCCTTGGTTGTTGGTGTTAACCTGAGGTTGGCATTTGGGATTTGTACTCTACACGAGAGAATGGCATTTACTTTTAATCTAATCTTAGACAATCTGTAAATTCTTGGTATAAATTAAATGGCTGTAATATTTCTGTTGATTTTCAGATGTTTCCTATTATCCTTCTTAACCCGAAAACTAAGACATTCCTTTGAAATTTGATTCAATCTTAATACGTTTCAATGTGTGAATCTGGTTTATAAAGGCCCCATATTCACTATTGTGGTTTCTGATGTTGCCACTGGTGCTTTTCCATTCTACAGTACCATAGGTTGAAATCTAACTGTGAAGTACATTGTATACATAATCGTAATCTTCTACAAGGTGTGATGTGAGTTGTTTGGGCTGCTGTTTCCAGACACCTAATCTTGCTCATATCATCAAGTCTGGAATCTGGACACAGGTAAATGTTTGCAATTAAAGGTAATCTCTGATGGGTTCCAGTTGTTTGGCCAAAATTGTATCTATGATACTACAACTGATTTCAAGTTTGTTTATTTTACAGGAAACCTGTACATGTGAACGTATCTCTAAATGTATATTTCAATTTAGAAATCAACTTGTATTTTGACATCGTGTGACATCAAAATGTTCCCACCCCTGCCTACCTTAAAAAAACAAAACAAGAGTCATCTTCGGAATTTTTCTCATACTCCATAGATTTATCGCAAACCTAAAACTGGCTTAGCCAATCAGACTTATGTCGTTGCTCAAAGACTTGCATTGTACAAATTAGTAATGATTATACCGAATGCTCATGGCACAAGTATGTATTTGGGAGGAACCTTTACTTAAGCCTCCTAGATTCTTGTCTTAACCAAGTCAAACATTCTAGATCGAGTTGATGAGCTCATAAGCTAAGGATATATAAAAAATACAAGATTCAAGTTGTCTTGTTGTGAGCTATAGGAGGTCTTAGATTATCACACAGACACATGTATGAAGATAATTTACTTATCTTAAAATGTTTGCAATTAAGGTAATCTAGTTAGGTAGACATAGCTTGAGAGTAAAAATCTGTCTGCTTTTGTAGTTTCATGGAATTTCTCTTTAAAATTTGAATGAAGTGTCTGATTTTCCTGCATTTCTATACAATTTAGAGTAATGATTTATGCCCGTTTACTTTATTTCTTGTTAATTCCTCATTAATCCTCTCAATTTTACTATTAAAAATATGACTGTTGTAAGACTTTAACATCAGGCAGTTGCAACACCTGTGCGTGATAGGTTTAGGTCGAGTTATTGCAAGATAAATCTTGGTCAGAATATTTTTACCCATATATCCCTATACTTATCCTATCCTCTATCGTTATTATCTGCTATTTTCTGAGGTTTTAAGTTCTCTAGTACATGTATTTCTATTTATTATTTGATTGACATGTGCTATAATTGTGGCTACATATGTTTCATACCATGTAACCTTTTCATATTTAAAACATACCCCAACAACATCATGCTATTTTACTCAGGGTTATTCCTGGTCACTATTACTTTAGTTCATGGCTCACCTTTGCAAACAATATTCACTCCAAAATAACATAACATATGGAATACAGGATATCCAAAGAAATGTATTTGCAACTGAAAGTGGCAGTTCTAATCGACACAATCATAAGCCTAATTAGCTATTATTTTCGAAAGGTAGACAATCTACTGTTTTGAAATATGTATACTGTATATAAGATTGCATTCAGTAGAGAGATACCAGTTCTACTTTTGACCTTTGAAGATGAGAATTGTGCCCTGAATTCCTTTGGGCTAGGCAGTGGCAGTTTTTATAGTCTTTTATGGGAGTTAAAATATACAGTACATCCTGACTAAGTTGAATACCTTTGGTTCCTCTAAAATGTTCTACTTGGGACGTGTTCCACATACAGACATTCATTTCACATTAACTTAGTTGGTCTTGGGACTCTGAAAAGTGTTACACTGACAGAGGTGTTCCATTTCTAGAGGTGTTCCACTTTACAGGTTTCACTGTACCTGATGAGGAAATTGCCTCATGAAAGTTTTGCAAAAAATATTTTTTCAACTAAAACTATAAAATGAAGGTCAGTAGTAGAAAAATACCTCCTTT